TATTGTCATGAGGCCCCAAATGAACACTACTGCCCACTTCCAGAACTGCATTCAAATGTATACCATGAGTCAGTAATAAAGTTTGTAATTATTTCAGTTGATGAAAAATAGGTGAATTGGATGATGCAGGAAGTAGCAGCCAAAATAATGGAAACAACACTACACAAATGTATTAAACAACTGAATTTAAAACATTAACAATTTTAGCCTATTAAAATTTTTACCAGTATAGAGAAAGAAAATAACCAAATAAACCTCATCTGTCTGTCCATTGCTGGTTCTTAAATAAATAAACTTCAATAAATATGCTGATACAAAATGTTTAGTACTATAGAACTGACATTGTCCTCTCCATTATGTATTTTCCATCACAATCTGCAAAATGATGGAAATGACTGTTGTGGAAATTATATTTTGTAACATCTTTTTTCTCTTTTTCCCCATGATAATCCCATGATATGTTAGCTTGATTCTAGCATTGAACATACACAATATAAATTGTTGTTTTTCTTACTATTTGTACATTCAAAGGAAATATGAGCTGTTTGGAAATGACAGCCAATAAATATATAAATTTAACAAAAAATTACCTTGATTTCTACTTGTAGTTCCCTACATAGCGCTAACTGCCCTCCAGCCATGTGCTCTCTTGTCACAGGACCACTGCTGCGGTCACCAAGTATGCAAACTATTAAAAAAAACTCTTTTGTACAGTGGAAATCACAGAAACCCTATGCGACAGGTGTTTGTTTTATGAAAAGACATACAATTGTGATATATCTTACAACATATGATACATTTTATCAAAATAGGTATTTATGTGTCATTAGTATGTGAAATTAATATTAGATATTAAATTCAATATTAGGCAGGGATGAATGTCCAAAACCTGGTTCAGGGACAAAGGAAATATAGCAAAGAAAGGAAAAATAACACGTAAAAGACAAAATTTTATATAATAAAAACAATGACTGCTCTATCATTAAATTGTTGCTTTGTCCTTCTGGTGTCAAGTAGGCGAACTGTGACAATAAAAAAATATGTTTTTTATTCTAACAGGGACAGATAAATCACAATAGGTAAATTATAGCCGCTGCGCAGCAATGGTCGGGGCCAGGCAATTTTAGGCAAAATTAGGCAATTCTGAGCAACACACACACTAAAACAAAGCATATCACAACATAGAAGTTACATCATATAATTATGGCATGCCCTTCAAATTGTGGATGAATGGCTAAAGTGATCAGACTCATAATATACAAAGGAAAGAAAAAACTCAAGAACAAGAAAGTAAGAATAACATTAACTGCTAGCAATTATGAACAAACTGGCCTGATCTAGCTTAAAGCTAAACATTATCCATGGTGACAAAGATGAAAACATTTTTTAAAATGTAAAAGTAGCTATTGGATAGACTCTGCATACTGACTGATAGCTAAGCCAAATTAACAGGGAAAAGAGACAAGGGATAACAGGGAAAAGTGCTGATAAAGAGTATTTGTCTCTCCGCAAAACTGCCTGGATCATAATTATTTTACCCTTAGTAGTCTCTAATCCACATAGCATGATGCCTGAACATAGGACTTTCACATTAGAATGTCCGTTCTGCCTTAGCTGAGGCTTCTGAGGCTTCACAACTTCTGAGACTGAGGTCCGTCTTCTATCTCACTGAGCTAATTGGCAGTTCATGTGTGGCTTCACAAATTGACTAAGCCAAGCATCAGGGTGCCAGACAGTAGCCATCCATGCCATGGAAAAGCAAATTTCAAAGTGAAAGTTCCAAAGCTGTAGCACATATGGTTGATTTGTTATGAATTTTCAAAGTTTTGAAATTTAGAGGCTTGCTGTAGCGCCACCATCAGGACTATTGTCTTGTGTTTCCAGTTGAGGACATCTGGCATGGGACTGGACCTTTATGAAAAGTTTGGGTAGATTTATCATATGGAAATGTTGCATGAGCTGAGGCTTGAACTCACAATCTTCAACACCAAGAACCATCCTCTATCTCACTGAGCTAATTGGCAAATGGAAAAGTCACATGTAGCTTCACAAACTGACTAAGCCAGTCACCTGTGTGCAAGACAGCAGCTGTTAGTGTGTAAAGGCAGATTTCAAACGGCTGTCAAAAATTCAGTTATTAAGACAAAAATCCGAAAATACACATATTGCATCTAGACAGCATGGAGATGTTGGTAATTTGTTTGTAACAATGATTTATTGGCTCCATAAGTGAAAAACTGATGTTTAAAAATGCCATTTTTGCATTGACTCCAATTGTTCGCATGAGAGCGAAATTCAAAATGCTATAAAAAAAATCAGTTTTTGAGATAAAATTCTGATATTTTCCAAACATCATCTACCATGACTCCAAAATTTTGTCATTTTTTTAATGAACATTGAAAATGTATTTAGCAAGAATTTGCAAGTATATGTTTACAATACCGTTTACAGTCAAACATTTTGATGCACTGTAGGCTCAGTTTTTGATACATCAAAAATCTGTGTGGATCGTTTGTGTAGGACAGTCTGAAGATGCTCTGTAGCAAGTTTGGTGTCAATTGAGCAAAAATTGTGGGAGGAGATTTAGAGAGGTTTAATACGTTTTACAGTTTTTGAAAAAAACAGAGTGATGAACTTAAAAATTTGAAATAGGTATAAATGTACAAAAGTTTCTACAGTATTGGGGCTACAATTTGATGAAAGTTGCAAATCTATAGCACATATGGTTGATTTGTTGTGAATTTTCAAAATTTTGAAATTTAGAGGCTTGCTGTAGCGCCACCATCAGGACTATTGGCCTGTTTTTGCAGCTGAGGCAATCTGGCATGGGACTGGACCTTTGTGCAAAGTTTGGTGATTTTTCGCGCATGGGAAGTATTATTTCCTCGGAAGAAGAAGAAGAAGAAGAACATGCAGCAAAGCAATAGTGTCCTGGCAGCTTAGGCTGCCCGGCCCCTAATAATCATTTCTATATACATTTTAAGACTAAATTTTATTTTGAAGCTATAAGCAATAATTTACGATGAAACCGGATAAAATGTCCATGTAAAGTGAGGCAGACAGAGAAGTTATTCTATGGACATCCATGACTCATTTAATCACTAATAAGATAATTATTTAATCACTAATTATAGCTCCACTCATTTGTTATTCAGCTGAATCCAGGTCTGTTGATACAGCACTGTATGATATGACAGAAGAGCAACGGAAAAAGCAGGGGTCAATAAGCCTTTTCCGGAGCAGACATTTTGACTTGTCAGCAGAAAAGGCACAGGTTTACAAACTAAACCGTAAAATTGCCCCCTTGTGTATGTAAACACATAAATACAGGACCCTGAAACTGAGGCAACAAAATGCAATTCAGCCTTGTTTAATTTATTGTTTTTTAACCTGTGTTTTTCCTACTGTGATATATCAAAATGCATTGATTCATAAAACAAACACTAACTTGCAGCTAAATGTTACATCTCCTCACCACAGAGGACAGAAAAATAATAAAGCTGGCAGTCGGCTACTATCAGGTAATGATGCAAAATAAATGGATGTAAGTTTGTGTGTGTGTGTGTGTGTGTGTGTGTGTGTGTGTGTGTGTGTGTCTGTGCTGTTGGAGCGCCCCCTAGCGGCTGTACTGTCACACTCACAATAATAGTTGAAATGTAAGTGTTGTGGGAAAAGAAAACCTGAAGATCACTATAAGACCATCTCATGTTTCTTAGCAAGGTTCTTATTAAAAACTGGAAATTACTGGCCAAGTACCTCACTGGTGTTAATAAAATCAGATCTTGATCAACAAGTTTGTGTGTTGGAAAAAGATGATAATTGTTTTGAGCTTTTAATATTTGATTAAGTGACCTGTAAAGCTTTTATATTTTATAAATGTTGGCTTGGGTCGATGAAACAAGTAATATTTAATAATATAATAGAAATATTTCCAGGAATCTGACAATGAGATGCAGCTGGTCACAGAAAGAAAAGTTTCAGTTTTGCAGCATGACGTAACATCTCATTGCATATCAAATAAATGCACAATTGGTCTTTCTTGTGTTTGTGTCTATGTGCAACCACACACACACACACACACACACACACACACAGGGTGCTGCAGTTGGCTGTTGTTTGAGAGAAGAGATGAAAAGGCCTTTTGTAGCTGGGAGGTCAGCGCTATTGACCAGTAGATGTGTGAGTAGAGTCCGAGCTTGGTTTTCCCACAGTCTCTCTGTCCACTCACGGCTTAATACCCTCGGTCAACAATAGAAGTGTGCCATGGGTGAACAAGCAGGAGTTTTATTGTCAGCACACCCAGGACCAGAGCAACGTGCTGCAGGGAAGCTTTCTAATCCACTGCATTTTAGAATAATTAGTATTTATCAACACATGATGTTTAAAACATGTGTTTCATCTGGAGATCAGAAGACTGAACCATCTTTGAGGCTTTTGGTCAGTTCATCTGACAGATACAGGCATCAGAATTTCCTTCAAAAGACTACAATGGACACTCACTGGATTTTTTTACATGTGTATAATGATGATTTTGCAAAGGATTTGAATGGACAATGTGCAAAAATAAGAAATATCCAAATACTTGTTAAATACAGTTGAATAAATGTCTTAGTTCCACGTGAGCAATTGCATAAATAATAACATGCTTGCTTTCAATACATTTTCCCTGCACACCACTAATGCATTAAATCCTGTTTAATTATTCCCTGGGTGCACATCAGAAGATACTGCCTGTGTTCCCCTGTGTAACTGGACTGTGAGATAAGCAACAGCCCCTGATAAGAGTCTGACAGCATATCATCCTCAGTTTGATATATATCACGGGAATGGTTTTATCTCTACTGGTCAGCCTGTGATTGCTTCACCTCAGAGTTATTGATGTGTGTCCCATTGTTACAAACCCCTGCCCTGCCTGAGTCACATGGTTTTGTTATGCTAATGTTACACTATAAAAAATGAAGGGTGGCTCCTCCACAGAGGTCAGAGCTGACAGTGTCATCCTGAGGAAGCTGCTAACTTCACCTGCACAGACATGGCTCCCTGCTCCACCAACTACTCCTCTATTCACAACATCAGGATTTCTGAGAAGGACAACATCAAAGTGAGTAGGCTATTGGAGAGGATTTAAAGGGGTTTGCACCATCTAGTACAGTACAAATGTCTGATTGTTTAGTGCTGACTTGAGCTTAACTTCCTGTCTCCTCTTCCCCAGTTGAGAAAACCTATTGTGGAGAAAATGCGCAGAGATCGCATCAACAGCTGCATCGAGCAGCTCAAGATCATTCTGGAGAAGGAGTTTCACAAGCAGGAGCCCAACTCCAAGCTGGAGAAAGCCGACATCCTGGAGATGACTGTGAGCTTCCTGAGGCAGCAGCTGCAGCGGGGCCTCTGTCAGAGCGACTACAACCAAGGCTACTCTCACTGCTGGAGGGACTCTGTCAGCTTCCTGTCTGCTGCATCCAACACAGATGTCTCTGTCACTCCTCTGCAGGGCCTCCAGCTGCAGGAGCAGCAGCTCCACCAGGCCCAGAGAGCCAGCAGCTCCTCCCCAGTCTGCTCCATCCTCAGGACCACCTCGCTGCAGGACAGCAGCAGCAGCAGCAGAGGCCCAGTATGGAGGCCTTGGTAGAGACTCTGACACAGACACTCTGACACCTGAGGGGACTCTCCCTCACTATGCCTGCTCATTCATGGTGTTCCTGAGTGATTCAGGTGTTTCATCATATTGATGAGAAGATATGTAAGAGGGATTGTATCCTCTTAATCAGAAATTCAATCTGGAGACTGTTCACTGACCATGTGCAACACTGCTCCGCTCGGTAAATTGCTATCACAGTGTCCTCATGCTTCACAGTGAGGTTATTATTATGATGTTTTAGTGTTTTGTTCCTGTATATGACTAAAAATATATTCATTGCATGAAGGTAAACTAGTGCTGTGACCTATTTGCCTTTAATAAAGGATGAAAGTATTTGACTAAACGCAGGTCATTTGTGTTTGCTGTGTATTATTTTGTGGAGCATTATATTGCAAGTACATACTGTGTATTCAAGCATTTAAATGTGAAACACATGACTGAAAGTCTTTACCAAATCTTTATTTTAGATTTTAATAAAATATCCTTTTCATCCTTTAAATTTTGTGTGGTATTTTAGGTGTGCATGTGTGTGTGATATGTAATCAAGGAAAATAACTAACAATGCACGAATCAAAATGAATAAAGCACAAATCCAAAAACATCCAAAACTGAGGGCAGGAGTTAATTGAAAAATCACAATTAAATTCATGAATAACTAATAATTCATTGACAAATAATCAAAATGATAAGGTTAACAACTTGCTTGGAAAACAAGCTGTTGATAAATGAGTAAATGCAAAGTAAAATTAACAGATAATTAGAAAAAAAAAAAAAGAACAAACAAAAGTTCTCCCCCTATTTGGTTGTTGACTCCTACTATTAATCCAATGGTAATCTATTGGCTGTTAGAGTGTCTACTGATAATATTTCTCTGCAGTCTCTCCAACAATTTGGTGTAACTGTTTGTTGGAGTTTGGCTTGGTGAGCAGGTGTTACAAATATAACATCTGGAATTTCCACGCCATTCTCGCCAGAACCGAAATGCGGTTGTCTTATGTGATGGTAGACTTTTATTTTCCCATTTCATATTAGTTAAGAGATAGTGTCAGCAAGTTTGATTTAATAAAAAAACTTGTACACAAGGCCACTCAGCACTTGTCATAATGCGTGTATATTGTTTCGTTTTTTTGTGGAGTGAGCTCTGAATTAATACAATTCAAACAAATGCTGCCATGTTTCCAAATATGTGAAGCCTAAATCAAAAATGGGAAAAATCTGTTTGAGGATTTTAAGACAGACCATGACTTTTACCTTGAGCATTATGTGTGTCCAAATCACCCTGATGACTGATGCTTCCTGGAGCAAACATCATGTGACCTTCTCCAAAATAAAGACAATCGAAGAAAAGTTTTCAAAAGAGGTTCATGACAGGCACCCACTAGTTCACCTGGCAGAGCAGGTGCCCCATGCACAACGGCTGTGTCCTTGCTGCAGTGACCACGGGTTTGATTCTAACCCACAGTCAATCAGTGCTGCATGTCATCCCACCAATCTAGTGCTTTATCTGTCCTTATCTGTCAAATGAAAGCAAATAGCCCCAAAAATATCTTTAAAAAACTAAGCTCATGATGAAATTTGAACAAAAATGGTATAGGAAAAGTAATTGTTATCACAAGACATTTATTTGTATTCTCAAATTGCAAAACAAATATTTATGTGGGGTTATTTCAACAAAAAAAAATCTGGAATCAGTGTTTTTTTATGATTGTATCTTTTTATTGTTAATTGTCATACAAATGTTAGAAATGTGTTTAAGAGCCAAAATGTGAAAGCAAAACAGCAATTTCAACAAAAATGTTAACGTCCACTTCCATACATACACACACACACACACACACACACACACACACACCATCATCATTATCATTATCATGCTCATACATACGATTTGGCATAGATAATTCAAAACAGAAGAGAAATATTCTCAACAGCCACTGTCAGTGTAACACAGTACGGCAGATACTGTTACATCAAGCAGTCCAAAGATAAACTCCACTGGAGTAAACAGTCGTTTAACAAGATTTAACAAAACCATCACAATTAAAAATCAACCTCCAGCTTTAAACACAAAGAAAAAGCAAACAAAGTCAAAGCAGGACAATCTTCAAATAAGTGAGAGCCTTCGCTTCTACTACTTGTCCATCAATGTGATGAGACAATAAGGAAACCCACCATGAACGAGCAGGCTGGAAATATATTTCCTACATAGTGAGGGAGAGTCCCCTCAGGTGTCAGAGCGTCTGTGTCAGAGTCTCTACCAAGGCCTCCATACTGGGCCTCTGCTGCTGCTGCTGCTGTCCTGCAGCGAGGTGGTCCTGAGGACGGAGCAGACTGGGGAGGAGCTGCTGGCTCTCTGGGCCTGGTGGAGCTGCTGCTCCTGCAGCTGGAGGCCCTGCAGAGGAGTGACAGAGACATCTGTGTTGGATGCAGCAGACAGGAAGCTGACAGAGTCCCTCCAGCAGTGAGAGTAGCCTTGGTTGTAGTCGCTCTGACAGAGGCCCCGCTGCAGCTGCTGCCTCAGGAAGCTCACAGTCATCTCCAGGATGTCGGCTTTCTCCAGCTTGGAGTTGGGCTCCTGCTTGTGAAACTCCTTCTCCAGAATGATCTTGAGCTGCTCGATGCAGCTGTTGATGCGATCTCTGCGCATTTTCTCCACAATAGGTTTTCTTAACTGGGGAAGAGGAGACAGGAAGTTAAGCTCAAATTAGCAATAAATAATCAGACATTAATTCTGTACAAATTGATTAAAACCCTCTTCAGTACTCACTTTGATGTTGTCCTTCTCAGAAATCCTGATGTGGTGAATAGAGGAGTAGTTGGTGGAGCAGGGAGCCATGTCTGTGCAGGTGAAGTTAGCAGCTTCTTGGACTGCAGCGTTAGCTCTGATGTCCCTGGAGGGGCTGCTCCTCATTTTATACTCAGACATTAGCATAACAAAGCCATGTGGCTCAGGCAGGGCTGGGGTTCCCACACTCTGACCAGTGGGACTTCCAGCACAACAATGGAAGACATGTCAATAACTCAGAGAGCATTTATCTGTGCGAGGCATGTTTCCCAAGATAAGCAACAGGTAATTAACATGTTATCACGTGGTCATCTCAGCACTAATCATGGACTGAAGGTCCAAATTTAATTAAAATAAGAGGAAGTGATGCACACTTTAGTGAGCACCTTCAAAGGGAGGTGACTGTAATTAGGGAGCAAATGCTTCAGTGCAATAAAACAGTCTGAGCTGAAGGCTTTCATTTTCTCTTCAAAGACAGCTTCCCTTACTCCAGACAGCACTTTGGGAGCAGACAGGAGCATCTGGACACATGAGAATGTCTCAGAGGAACAGCTCACAACAATTAGGCTTAAATAATACTTAAAATGGGGAAGACAATCTGAAAGATGAGGAGAGGAGCAGGTAGGGAGGTCATCAACGTCAAAGAGTGACGTCAACTTGCTGCAAGTGAAACTTTTCATTTCCCACCTGTTGCTTTTTAAACTCTGCGCTGCTTACAGTTCACTTATTCTGCAGTGTGAAGACAGTCTGCAGTAATCTGAGGACAGCCCCGGACAGAAGGCTGCTGCTGACTCCCAGGTGTGAAAACAGGCAAGTGGCGCGCGTCCTCGGTGGCGCGAGTCGAAGACCGCGTGCTGGCAGAGGCGCGCTGAAGGGGAACAAATAGCCTACTCTCGTGTGCGCACAGCATGACTTTCTGATTTAGTTCGTTGCAGCCGTCATCAAGGACATACAATGACGGGGCCACATTTTAATCATGTATTCTTATGAGTTCATGCAGAAAGATAAAATGGGGTAAAATATGCACAAATCACTCAGCCTTTAAAAACCAAATACTTCACACACAGAGAGACAGAAAGTCATGTGACATCATTAGTTAATTTGTAACAAATAAAGCCCTACACGAGGAGAACTGACAGGTATTATAGGTATATGGGCCAGAAAACAAGTCAGCAATATAAAGAATATGTTGCATAGACTTCATATCAGTGGCACTACAAAATTGACAGAGTATATAACACTATAGGAGTATAATGTATACTATTTTTGGGGTGTATTTGGGTCCAAAGAGTCAGTTAATTTACCACTATACTCAAAGTTTAATATATACACTAATCAAGATCAACTGACTGACAATGTGAGTGTATAAATGCACTCTCACAAGCACACTCAAGAGTGAAAATGTATTCACCTCATTGTTTTGGCCACAATATAGAGTAAAAATGAAATCAGTGTTGATGGCACTGTATAGAGTCTATATGCACTACTACAAAGGTAATAACTGACACCACTATGGTGTGAAACTGCAAACTTTAAGTGTTGAGCTTCAGCACTACTGAGGGTACATTTAGAGCCTAATAGACACAATGAGCATTTAAATGCAGAAAATCTTAGCTTTTCTTTCAAACAGACACTTCACTGTACTAAACCAAAAATTTACTCCCACATTGCCTTAACACAGGTGTCAGTGTTAATGGCAGGAGATATGACAGACACCTGTAACATTATGAGTGCAACAGTCGCGGAGACTGTTCGCCAAAATATTAGGTAATCACAGTTTTTTAAAAGAACTTTTTTCAAAATAACTTGGACTTCAAGTTATGAATATTTGGTTTCCATGGTTTGTGAGGATTTGTTTCTCCAAACACTTAACTGTATGTTAAATCACATGTGGTGAGCAAATCACATTTGGGTTCTTGTTGTTTTTAGTCACATCTTATTCACTGAGCTCTGCTGAAAAACTGTAGACAACTTTTCATCATAAGCTCTTGTCTAAGGTCCCCCGAGGGTCTGCAGACCCTGTTGTGAATGAACTGTGTCAAATTAGTGTCAAGTTAATGGCATTATGAGCGAGCTGGCAGCGTGCCTCTGAGGGCCTCCATCACTGGCTGGCCCCAGATGTGAAGCCGGCCTTGTGGGTGCAGTGTGAGTAGTCCCGTCTCCCCAGTTTCCCACCAGTCCCCAACATCAGGGTAAATGAGCTACAAAAGCCACGCCGCTCCTCAATGCTCCACTGGGAATGTTAATTGATCTTTTGTTGCAGGACAAACAGAAACTCTGTGTCTCGGTCCATCTGGGAAAAATCAAGTCGACTGACTTCACTGCCTGGCACAGAGCGGTCAGTCTGCCTTTAGTCTGTGTTGACTCTTTTAATTTAAGGCTTCAGACACCCATCTACAATGCTAAAAGAAGTACTCAAGTAAGTTTTTATTAAGTCCAAGCAGAAATGCCACAACAGAAATACTACTAATGCGTAGAAACCTGCAGCGGTGAAGAGATGAAGTG